CCTAATGGTTTTGCTGACAGCCACACTTGGTGAGCTGAAGCTGTCTGTGGAGTAATAGTGTGTCAGGAAAAATTAATCTCCAGACGGGTCAGGGAATTTGCTGCAGTTGGCAATCTAATTTTTTCTTTGTCTCAAGTAATATCAGACGATTTTTTGCAGAATAAAGTTAGCTTTTAGTACCACTTGTAAGGCAGTAGCTTCCGTTAGCTTCCTGTTATTGTGGTATACATGATAGACAGCTGGAAACTCTCTCTAGCAGTGCAATGTGATAATTTTTTCTGGGTATGCATTTCCTGAAGAGCCACTGAAGCCTTCTGGAGAACTCTGAAAAACAGCCTGTTTTAAAACATGAAAACAAATCTGTTTCTAGCCTTTAGTTCTTTTTTTCTAAACTCCTCTTCTTGTTTTATGGCAAATCAGATTTGCTTTGGAGCAAGAGTTTAGATGCTTCTCAGTTTATCTGCTTTGACTGTTTATTCTGCACTCCAGGGTATAGTAGGGCCACAGTTTTGTTCTTGCCCTCATAGTCAAGGGAATATGCAGAAAGCAAGCTCATCTAACATCTTTCCCTAGTGTATAGCTGGTCCAATAAAAGATATCACCAAACAAACCTTGTTTCCCCAGGATATAATACGTTGTGTAAGACACAGCAGTGCTCTCCACAGCAGACAGTTATAACCTAGCTGGGACAGAATTTTGGCCTCACCTGGGGAATAACCAGCCAGGACAGGGGAGCAGTTCCCATGTAAATACCTTGAACAATGAAAAGAAAATGGGGCAAAAGGAATCTAAATGGTGTATTTTGTGAATTGCTTTCATGGAAAGTTTTTCAGAGTTTTTTTTAGGCATCAGCAGGATTGAAAACTCTTAACTTCAGATAGAAAAATTCTTAGAGCCCATAACAACTGTAACTAAACTAATGCAGACTCTAGCAGTATTTTAATATGGCCCTGGCTGAATGGACATAGCTCTGTCATTGCCAAGAGCAGAGTTCACTTCATCAGGCAGTTTTACATCAATATTATTTGTTGAGCTAGAGTGCAGAGGAAGCTGAGCCAGCCTCTTCTCTGCTGGGGTGCAGATCAACACATTAAAGGATTTAATGGGGTATGTGGGATGTGAGGACAGCAGCGGGAAGGCAAAAAAATGCTACTAGCAGATAAAGCTATGTTGGGAGTTACATTTCCTATGTTGAAGGAAGTGACATTTTACAGTGGGTAGGACTGGAAAACAGGTGAGAACTCTTATCCCAGGTCTGCCACTGACCCCCAGTGTAGCCTTGGGCCAGTCATTCAACCTCAACACTGCCTCAGTTTCCTCTTTTGTGGCACTCACCTAACTTGTAAAGATGTTGCTTAGCCCGTTGTGATAAGTGGATGCGAGCATCTATGGAAGATAGGTGCCTAGACCCTTTTCAGCATTCTGGCCTCTTTCTCCACATTGGGATATTGGACTCAGATAAAATAAAGCATGGCACTTCCTTCCTCACTTCACTTTCTATTAATTTCAGCTTTGAATTAATTTCAAGGAAGAGAGCTTGCCAAGGAACTTGGTTAGCTGTTGAACACTGATGCCATAGTCTGTAATTTACCCCAGAGCAATGAAGGCAGCCCATATGCACGTGCTTTTGTGTCTTCAGGAAAAGATAAATGCATGTAAGGTGACACCCTGTTTACCAGGGAAACCATGCACTCATTTAAATATCAAGGCTTTTTGGTTAGGGCCTTTTGGGTTGTCCCTTTCCTTAGGTGAACCATGAGATCCACTTTAAAGGTCTCCGAAAGAAGGTGTAGGTCAGTGCTGTGATGGCAATGAGCTGAGGCAGCATCTATGACTGTTTCTCTACCATAGCTGTGGGGGTTGTTGTATCCTGTTATAAAGCAGCAGTTAGGAGTGAGACCTGTGCAGACACCAGGGGGTGAGTCTTGGGACCTTTCTTTGTAAGCCTCAAGATAACCACTTATGCCAAGCCTTGTGAACTGAATCCACCCATCAGCTCGCTTATGAGACTGACTGCAGCCAGAAGCCCAAGGGGAAGATGAACCTTTTCGTGGTGTTGTTTTCTCCTGGAATACAGTTCCTTTGGTAAAAAAAACAAACAAAAAACCCAACCTCTCCTGGCAGTAATAGTTCCCTCCTCCATGGGCTCTGCAGGTGAATAATCAGCCTAGACATCTTTTAGGTGCCCTCATTGCCTTTAGCTTAAAAGGCTCAACTCCTTTTGTGATTGGACATCTTGTACCTGAACTAGCAATAGGAACTGTTACTTAAATAGAAGAGACATGGTGTGATATATGGTTTGCTTCATAAAGGGCTAGCCAATCATTCAAACACTTCTGATGAAAGTGCACTTGGAAGATGATCCCTGCTCCTATATTTCATTTTTTAATGCATTCTGGGGAGCCTTTATCTGAAACAGCTTACTTGGGAGAGCTGTGAGGCTGTCACACTGTTCTAACAAGTAGGATCACTGCTGTTTGATCATATTTGCTAATTGGGACATAAGGGTTAATTCTTTGTTGGCAGGCATCCAGTGGATTAATTTTTCAGCAATTCTGTCTAGGTGGCTCGTGGCTCCAAACCTGACTTGTTCATTGCAATCAGGACCAATGCTTGTTTTTGCCCTATTTAGAAAGTTCATAGCAATTATAAGTTCACAGCTGCACTTAGTACAATCTGTTAGGTCAGATCTGTGTTAATGATAGCCATGAATGCAATGGGCACTTCTCTGACAGTACAAATCACTTCTTTCAAGCAGCTTGTGGAGGAGCAATGAGCAGATACTGCACACAAGCTTTGAAGCGTTCAGAAAATACAGTGACCTTTCATGAATCACAGCTTCCAGAAGAGGCTGTATGCAAAAGAGAATTCAGAATCCCAAACTGAATGGTGAACAGACCATTTTATTCCTTTTCTCTTTTAACTCTTTGGGGAACTTTTGTCTCTCTATGACTTCGTGGACAAGGAAGGCTCGGTAATGTAATTGTTCTAATTACTGGTTGTTCTGAAAATTGGTAGTTTGATCTTTATGCATAAAACATAACTATGAAGAAGCCAGATGGACATGTTAGGATCCACATAAAAGTGCTTGTGGAATATAGACGTAGTATTGCTAGGCAGCACTGTATACGTGGTGCTGCTTTGGTTGGATCCTTGGGATTTTTAAAGCGCAGAAGACAGCGAGCCCCTCTAGAGGGTTCACAGACTATTTAAAAGGAGGCTACCCAGACTCCATAAACCCTGCCAGGGACTACATACACACTGTATTCTGGGGAGCAGCAGTCTGAACTCTGAAATTGAACTGGAGTGTCACCTTTGCCATTGCTGTAGACAGGCAGGTAGATTTGGATGAGCTAAGAACTTGCTTGAGAATTCATCTGTCTTTCATGCAATGGTTTCTGATGCTCAGCAAAGTCTAGAAGACATTCTGTCTGCAAGCTTTTGCTCCTGCTCTTCCCAGTTAGCTTTGGTGGAACTTGCAAAATCCTCAGGCATATCTAGCCCATTTGGTAGCAGAAAGACAAAACTAGAACTCCCGCAAGGATTGTTCTTGTGAAGTTTACCAAGCAGTTTAACAGACTCCCAAATTTCTGTGATCTAATACTAATGATCACAGCTTTATTAAGATAATGTAGTCCTTTTTTATTTACACTCATACTTGTCCCTGCCCATGTTTAAGAGCTATATTGCATCAGTATCTGCTGTCACACGGCAAAAGCTAAGCGTTGGAGAAAGATGTGAGTCACTGAGCAAGCGGCTAGCAAAGAACCTTTTCTATACATTTCTGGTGCTGATAAATATTGGGCGTTGTGCATTTCTAACCATGACCATCTTAATAATGGCCAAATCCATCAAAGTAGAAAGAAAACAGTAATGTAAGTTTAAGGGAAACTCAGTAATTTCCTTGGAAAACTTTCACAATAACAGCTGAAATGAGTGAGACAGAGAAAGCAAAATGAAGGCTTATTAATAGCTAAAAAACATCTGTGCTCTGATTCTGAACTAAAAGGTTTCCTGCTTATCAGGATAGCAAGTTCGTCTTGTGCCAAGGAACAAGTAGACCACCAAAGATTAAAAAAAAACCCATGCAGTTTCAGGGCATGAATGTACAAACAGATGAAAATAGTGACAAGACATAATAGAAGAGCTATCAAAACCGTAAGTATCCCAAAACTTCCACGTCTCATTAAACAATTCACTTAGCCAGTGCCACATGGCTTTAAGGAAAATACAGCACTGTCTTGTGATAGAGGATCTATGTTTTGCAACAGGGAAACACTCCCTGGCAGATTTAGCCTAATTCTCTCTGAAAAACAATGGGGTCTGGAGAATAACTATATATTTTTTTCTTTCAGATGACAGTTATATTGTACAAATCAGTGAGAGGTGGCTAAAAAGCAGTATCTCACCTCCCCAAATTTACGTACCTCCACCAGATATAGGAAACAAATACTAGGTGACGGGAGGGGTTGAACCAGAGTTATTAAAACTAGTAGCAGTAGTGTAACTAGAAGGGAGTGAGAAAGGCACTAACGTAGAAGGGGTGCAGGAATGATGTCTTTCTCCACCACAGTCTTTGCTGCAGCTGGAGCAGCCCTGCCCTCCCTGGGCATATGAGCTGAGCTGGAGAAGCCCTATGCTGCCTTGCTGTAGGATCTGTGTGGGGCTCAGCTTCTAGGGCCAAGCAGTCCAGGGCTGCTCCTTCTGTTTCCCAGCACCCAGCTTCTGTGTCCCAGCATGCAGCCAGGTGGTTTGGGGCTTATCCAGCTGGGCTTCTACAACCTGGGGGGCACAGGCATCCTCCAGATGTAACAAAGGTGTTTTCACTGCCACTGCTGCCTGAAGTTTTACCCAGGACACCAAAATTTAGTCACGGCTCTGGTCAGCAGCAACTTTCATTGACTTTAACGGGGCCAAGATATGGGACATGGTGAGTCCACCAAATAGTATAGAATCCCTGCATTTTCTTCCTGCATTTTCTCTTGTCTGCTTCTTTATAGGTTCTGTGCCTTCACCCCAGATAATGGCTTCCACTCAAGCTTCCACTCAGGGACCTGGGGTAAGTGCTTGATTGTGACGTGTTACTGCATTGGGAAATTAGATTATCTGTTAGAGTACTCAGGGTTTCACTGAGTCTTTCATTCTAGGAAAGGGGTCCACTAGGGCAGTGTTGCTGGTAATATTTTTTTTTAAAGTTTAGGATTTCAAGTAAGAAGCGGGTTAAACTTTAAGGTCAACGTTGTAGGTCAACAGAGTGAATCCACAGAAATGCCCAGCCCACTTGCACCTGATAAACAATGGAACTTGGTTGGGTCTGATGGAGAGGAGGTAGAAAGCAAGTAAAGGAGTCAGGAGATGAGCATGTTAGTGGTGACTCGAGTGACTGGATAAAGAGGTAGATAGTGAGAGCTGGCCAGGGTTGTAGCTGCTGTGAAGGCCCTTGCAGGTCACTGCATGAGAAGCCAGTATTTCATATAATTTAGAGTTAAGCATAACAAGGCAAGCTTTGAATAGCTGGTTCTTCCACCCTCTTCTTTTTGATCATATATTTACATCATGATTCACTGATAACAGAGAAGGAGGCTAAAAACATCAATTCTCTTGCAGACTGGTTTGCTTCATGTTGATTTTTTCTGCACAAAATTCCTGAAAAATAGCGATGCAGAGAAACTGCTTAACTTACTAGTGAAGTATGTAATGTCTACACACACACATTACTCCAGGGTATAAACTAGTTGTATAAGCTTCACAGGCAATAGTATTTCCTTGAAAACAGCTCTGTTCATGCAATGCAGTCTAGCTCTGAAAGTTATTCCAGTATTCCACTGTGTATTAGTTTCCAAGGCCTTCGTAGCTAAACAACAATTTCCTGCTAGAATCCATATCCCAAACAGCAGCAAAAACATACTCTACCTATTATTTACTGGACACAAACCTTTGAAGCTGTTCTCATAACATGGACTTTTTTTTTATTTTTTAAGGCAATATCATTTTAGCAGAGCAGATCTGCAGGGTTCTCCTGTCCAGCAGAAGTATATTGACAACAGTATGTAATTTCTGCATGGACAGTTTGTCAAGGTTTAAAGAATCAGGTGCAAGCCCCCAAATACAAGTTCAGAGTGTTTTTTTATTTTTGATACGGAGAACAGTACACAATGATATTTGTGAAGAAAAAATGGATTTTACAGTCATTACTGGACTGTTTTGATCTTTATCTTTCTACAGTTATTTTTAATGCAGAATAATCATAGAATTATAGGAAAGTAGACCTTGAAGGGACTTCAGGAGGTCTTCCAGTCTAAACCCCTGTACCAGGTAGGATCCTCCTCTTCTAACCTGTTTTTAAAAAGTTCCAGGAATAAAGATTCCACAACCCCTGTAGGTAATCCATTCTGAAACTGCACAGTACACTGCAGCATCAGCAGCTAAATTAGGGAATATGGTTTAGGCATCATTAGAACCCAGGAGCATCTGAGCTGCGCTGCTTATCTGAGGAGAACTGTGCCTCAGTGAGGTCTAAGCATTTATCATTCCTGACCTGCACAGATCATTTCAAAAGCAAGCCACAGCCATGTCTTGCATGAGTTTCTGGCACTCCTGACCTAACCAGGTTCCCACAGGAAGTTCATACATTATGGCATTTCTTCCTTCAGCAGCCTCA